CAATAGAAAGACTTATTTTTAACGAAATAATTATTTTTTTAAATGTAGGTATGAGTTACACAAAATATTATTTATATATAAATTAATAATAGGTATTACTTAAAATAGATTTTAAACCTTCAAAAAAATATTAAGCCGCATCAAATCCAAAACCAAAACAGAAGACCTAAAGAGATAATCAACATACTCAAACTCAAGCTGTACCACCTGCACCCCATAGAAGTGGGCATGTAACTCATACCTACATTTAAAAAAATATTAAGCCGCATCAAATCCAAAACCAAAACAGAAGACCTAAAGAGATAATCAACATACTCAAACTCAAGCTGTACCACCTGCACCCCATAGAAGTGGGCATGTAACTCATACCTACATTTAAAAAAATATTAAGCCGCATCAAATCCAAAACCAAAACAGAAGACCTAAAGAGATAATCAACATACTCAAACTCAAGCTGTACCACCTGCACCCCATAGAAGTGGGCATGTTACGCTACGCTTAAACCCGAGAGAAAAACCCTTATATGCCGAAGCCACAGCAAATACACCACCATCCGATCAACTTCTCCAAATCGTCACAAGTTTCCTTAACAAGCTAAAATCAATCCTAAACCCCCTCCTAGCTGCTTTAACATCCCTTATAAATAAATTTCCACTCCTCATCACTTCCACTCCTTTACTAACGCACGTATCACAGTATCACATATCTTCTGATCATCCTTATCATATCCTAATAATAAATTCTAAATTCTTAATTGTATACAAACTTTTAATAACATGTAATATGTTGACACATTTTAAATATAATAAATTTAAAAAAAATAGGTTTTTTTAATGAGGTAAATGGTTAAATAATTATTTTCAAAGACAATATAAAATAAGCAATTCAATTTAATTTAATGTAATTTCATCTTTCTTATTTTACATGTATAACGATTTGGCTGAGTTTTTAATGCATCTACTTAACATAAGCACCACATTTTTTAGTTTTCTTACCAATTATTTATTTTTAAATTATCGAAACTTTGATCCATCAGCTCTTTTTGCTGATGAAATAGTTGTATTCAGTGATAAATCTTGCTTTCCTTACTTATTATCTTCTTTATACCGTAAAGTTATCACAATGTGCTCCGTATAGTTCCATACTGCAGAATACCATTATCTATAATAATAGGGTATTGTAAACTTATAATTACATGTATAAAACCAATTAATATTTCTGATTTAATCTATGCTGTTATCGTTTGATAAATTAAATTAAATTAATTTTACAATTTTCAAAAACTTCAATAATTAAACAATTTATAAATTTTTGTTTTCGTTAATTTGATATAGTAATAATATATTGTTTTAATAAATTAATATACATGTTTTAATATATTTTATTTATTTATTTTTTATTTATTAGGGTTAAGGCTTCGACAACTGAGGTCATTAGCCTTTAAAATATATTAAAACAATATTTAAATTGTATATTTTTAGTATAATAACATTAATAACATAATACGTAATACCTAGTATAGGCACCTACCGTACTTACACAGTTTAAAAATGTTTCAACTAAGGGTTTCCGATGAACAATTTTAGTGATGTGTATTAAAAATGTTGGAAGATATAAGAAATTGAACATAATATCGTATAAAAAACAAATGTCATATAAAAATATTTACAAATTTACAAAATCTTATATATACATTTTAAGTAATATTTAGTGGTAACTGTACGTGAAGTCGTGAACAATTTATTATTTTATGAGTAAATGTCACATCTCTAATAAAATAATCAAAATACTTCAATAATACAATGCTATGGCGTTAAAAATAGACTTCCGAATGATATGAAAACAAATAGAGTTACCTAGAAGTACGCATAACGTGTTTAAAGAATTGACGTATTTTTTTGTTCTGTTTCTGCGCAATTGGCGTTCATCTCATTTGGCGTTGTCGTAGTTCCGACGCGATCGTTGTGTCCACGTGCTCTATAAAATGATCAATTTTACTACACCAACTGCAAACATTTTATGTGGATATACTAAATACTATCTAAATCGCATGATGCGTTGTCAGTAAATAGCCACCGTCTTAGTATGGTATAATAAGGTATTTAGAACTTAAAGATATATATACGTACCAACAATGTGGCCAATTTGGGTTTAGCAGAATCAATTTTTATGTCAGAACTTATAACTTATTAGTGGGAGTACTTAATATATCAGTTATTATAATGAAACTAGGGGGTAATACTGCCTAGTAACGTGGAAAGAACAGGGCGGGACTGTGGATGGGACGTCGTATAGATGATGCCTGGATATAGATCATTACCTATTTGGTCGGGGCGTTATATAGGTCCCAGATGACTGAAATACCAAATATTAATATATTATATTCAACTCTAGATTTTGGTATTTAAGTTGGTGAGAAATATATTTTATTATTGACGAAACAAGACGGGATACCAACGTCATAGATGCTTGAATATATAAAATATTAGGTTTGTTGTATACTTATTTTTGGTATACGTTTTATATGTTTTTAAATCATTTAGTACTTGAATGCAGATCGTCCTGACTCATGCATAATATAATCCTATGTTGATCCAATTCTTTACCGTTTTTACAATAATACCCACATATATTTTTTCAATGCCTATTATTTATTTATTAGGATTTGTTAAAATAAACCAAATGAGGATATTATAATTTATAACACATGCGAGAATTATAACATCCTCTAAATCTTAATAACATACATTATATAGATATGTATACCTACTCACTTTCTAAACAATAATTGTTTGATCAACAGACCAAACGGTGCATCGATAATTAAATACAGCAAMGCGCCAATGAAATATGTTCTCAACGATCCAACAATCCATCCATCCATCTGAAACGTCATGTCCGTTAATATTAATTATAAAATATATTTCAAAAGTGTACATAAAGCAAGTTAATGAAACCAATTAATTTGAATTATTGTCATATCAACATTTGATATTTTTTAAGTTGACTTAGCATAAAATACAACATTTAAGTTTAGCAGTACCAATCCTATATTGTTACTTTTAATATTTGAGTGRATTCACCTACTATAAAACTTTAAGTAAAGAATGTTATCTGTCTACTTATGTTATGTATATTTTTGTACAACGGTGGCATTGACATGATATTATATTATTTAAATATATTGTGCGTATATGCTGCGGCTGGTACTAACTGTATAATACATTTACACTAATCATAATATTTAAAACTAACACACAAATTACACGGTCGGCTCAAACAAAATTACTTAATGCCTAATAAGCATTGTCACTTACCTATACACTGCAGGCTAGGTTCAATAACGGCCGTTTTAAGGAGTTGAATATAGGAAATTAGTGCTGACCACCGTGTTCGATTAAATGTGTGAATAGTAGTTAGTAGGAAATAATCATTAATGAGAATGAATGTCAACAGAGCACTACACGAATATCAATTATTTTGCTTATTTTTGATCAAATGTATCAATATGTTGCCAATCGCATTCTGAACTGGTATGAAAGTAAACATGTTTGAAATTCGTTATGAAATTCACTAATTTATTGAAAACGACCTTCTTAATTTTGTATTAAGACCCAATGCAAAAGTACCATTTTGAAACAGTTGTGTTTAAGCAATTTCTTTGTTCCTTGCAGTCATATTTGCTCGACTGTGCACCTGTAGTAAATTATCAATGGTGTGTGTAGTCTTCACAAATCACCCAAATTATAGTTTATAGTTTATACATATTACCGTTGCGCATGCACATATCATTAGGTTATTAATTTATTATAGATCAAAATAATTTTATCCAAAACCAATTTATGGACGTTAAATGGCTATACACCARACAAAATAAGTCTAAGAATTTCCTAATGTCCAATTAAAGAAAATGTAAACACGTTTAAATGTATAAACATTACTTTGCATTAGTCGAAGAAATTTTTCAATTTTAAGTAATTCTTGACGGGAATAAATATTGATGTGAAAGTGAAAGCGGCGGGTGAGACTGGCTGTTGCAATTAGCGCGACGTCGATACGCTCTCAACGCGCGTGTAGCCACACACGTGAGACATTTAATGCGCCTTTAAAACAAAGAATAATTTTTCTTAGAAATAAATATCTAATTGATATCTTTTTTTTAATTATATCATGTTTATTTCCTTTAAAACCCCRCCCTTTCAATTTTCACAAATATTTTTTGTACAGGATAATTTCGACGTTTCACATCTGCAAGGCTATCTACGACGGATCATTTTTTTTTTTAATTTTATAACTTTTCGTTTTTTTTTATAATAAAAATATTGAATACATAATACTATGCTGATTATGCTCCAGAGTCATCATAGAGGTACCTTAATATTTTTGTCAGTCGCAAAAGTTGTTTTGAGGAAAAATTGATAGGGTTTACGAGAGTCTTATTTAATATTATTAACATTTTAAAATTCTTTTGAATGAATTCAAGTGTTAAATTTCAAAAAAAGTAGAAAAGTCGTTTTCAAGTAAACTTCATGACAAATTTAAATATGTAATCAGATATGTTATTAAATTATTAAGACACTTAGTACAATATAATTGGTAAAAAATAAATCGATTTAAATATAAGAAACAAAACATGATAGAGGTTAAAAAATAACTGGTGTATACTTTGTTTAAGTTAAGAACCGTAGTTGATGGCCGACTTGTACGTAGGGGTGCGGAAATAATACACGGCAGGTATAGATAATTGACTGGGTAGGTGACAAATTGACAAGCAGGGGCGGATCCAGYTCGAGATTATGGGGGAGGGGGGCGAATATTTCACATACAAAATAAAATTTTGAAAAGAAGACATTTCACTGAATAACCACGTATATAAACGGAACAATTGCTCTGATAATCGAATAAACTATAAGACCATATTGCCATAAAGATGCCTGTACAAATTTATAAATTATCGACTACCCGTCGACCGCGGCACTCAACGTGTTAAAATTAGTTAAAATTAGTTTTGATTATTTTTACTAGGCATTTTTCCTAAATAAAACACAGCTTACGGGGGAGGAGGCCTCCGCCCCCCTACTGAATCAGCGACTATTGACAAGGGTGTTGCCTAACTGCTGATAGATAAAAACCGRCAGTCACTGATTTCATTTCTTAAGAGGACGCCACACCCGCATGTGTTGTCTCCGTCTTACAAACGTATAACATCGCAAAATCTGTTTAACGCGGGACAACTTTACTCCCTTTGTATTTATAGTAGAATTACCAAAATTCCACAACGCACTTTATCTGTGTCATAGCGTCGTTATTTTTTTGATAACATAAATATAATTAAAGTTATAAGCTTAATAAAATACATTTATTTTTTATTTTTTCATTAAATTACTTAAAATTATTGGTTTGTGCTATCAAAAAATAACGACGCTATGACACAGATAAAGTTCTTACCTATGTGTTGTGAAATTTTGAAAATTCTATTATAAATATTGGCGTCCTCTTTAGAACAGAGTAAATAGATATAAATGCACGTCATGCAACATTAAATTATCACATTATTACACTAGAGTTATCATCATTATCATCATGGTGCAATTGCCATAAAATTAATATCGACTAAATTGTTTTTAATTTCGACAAGATAATGTATACAGTGTATAATTACATTAATGTTATTTGTTATTAACTGTTGACTTAATTCTCATTTAAATCATACCATTTCATAACATTTCTTTTCGAGACGATAATGATTATTATCAACAAACTAGTACCTACCCATTTTAAAGTTAGGTATATCTAACCGTATATCACAACAATGTTTAAATATATTATAGTCTAAATGTTTTAAAAATGTTACCACAATGCGTAGAAAATATTAACACATATTATACGAAATGGTGAAAACTTTCAAGTTTCTATAATATATATATGATATATATTATCAAATTTGTTGAAAACTGTTCCAGATTTTAACGCTAATTCTGTATGGAAGTATTATACCAATATCGTAATTTTAATTTTAATACTGTCTGTCGAGTGTCGACTWTCAATAAATAATCTTGTAAATTTGTTTCATGCTATGTAGTTAAAACTTCTTAATGTTGTATTAAAACGATGATTAGTACAAAATATTCACTTACCAACATATCTGATGAGGGAGTCACTGCATTTCTTTGTTTACTTTCTATCATTATTATGACGATGATATTGACAAGATAAACTGTATATGATAGTCTACCCAGCGGCACCGTTAATCTGTTATTGAGTAGTTTTTCTATCGGACCTATAGGTATAAATAAGTATAATAATATATGTCAACACGATTTAATTTGACTATGAGTTTTAATGTTTGAGTATCTCTTAATTCTATAATAAATCATAATATTATATTGATGTACAAAATATATATGCATAAATGGTACATGCATATACCTATTTTATATTTTTTAACTCAATTTTTTTTCCTAAATACCTTGGATGATTTTTATGAAAATTCTTATTTCCCATTCTCATTTGTATTCCACACACAAATAAAAAGTAGCTTATGTAATAATATTGTATGTCTGTCTCGAAATAGATCATAAATAATAATAAATTCTATTTTTTTATATAGGTATAAATAAAATATATAATATTACAGTAAACGAATAATTTGTTTTTTACTAATTATTATTTAATAACATACCAATCCCTTCGCCTCATTCGGTTAAGTACTTAGGCCTAACCTTTGACCGTCCCCTCACCTGGGGACTTCATATTAGAACTAAAACACTCGCCGTAAACGAACGACTTCGCTCGATTAAAACACTAATATCTAACAAGCATACTACACTAAACAGTAAACACCAAACTTCTCATATATAAATCATTAATCAAACCCATGTGGACTTATGGCCTACAACTATAGGGAAATTCAAAAAAACTAATGTAAATAAAATCCAAACCGTTCAAAATAAAATCTTAAGATTAATCACTAACGCCCATCCATATGTCTCCAACTACACTCTGCACACAGATTTAAATATTAAAACAGTTCACGATGAAGCAATAACATATTACAAAARATTCCATAACAGACTTCCATATCATCCTAATCCCCTTATAATATCCAATTTAGCTTCTCATACAATTCCAGGCAATCCCACACGACGACTGAAAAGAAAATGGTGTCGAGATTTACTAAATKAATAAATTAAAATTATATAAAATAAAAAAAATTGAAAAAAATTAATAAGCAAATAGGTAGTGCTTTCACTGGATGGCTTTTTCCTTCACGTTTTCATGTTAAAAAAAAAAAAATATTATATTTCATATTCTTATTTTGCCCAAGGGTACAGATTTTCTTGGGGGAAAAAAAAACTAATTATTACTTGAGCGTTAAGTCTAAAATGTTTCCAATTCCATATCTAAATTAACTATTTAAGTATAAGATGGAATAGATTTTAAAATATCTTACCATATAAACGGGATCTCATTGCCAATAAATAATTATTCTATGATATTTTAATAGATATATTTTAAAATTATTTTACAAACACGAATCACTGGCAAGAAAAATTATGAATAATGTAAATTGAATAATGAATAAAACCTATGTTGTTTTTCCTTTCTTACTTAGACCTACCACCATCATTCATCGGCATCGCATCTCAACTACATATATAATATATTTATATCTTTTTATTCTAAATCAGAATTTAAAAACTCCTTTGCCTAAAGCGAACGCTAGTTTTTCAGCCAGTTCCCATACGCGTGATGTAATTTTTAAAGTACCTACACCAATTATTGTAACCAAATAAGCGAKTATAATTTATGAATATATAGGGTTTCTACCATTGGCATACAYATTTGCCAAGTRTATTATGTGTTTCTTTGACTTATCATCTTCAATGAACAAAGCGCATTTGCCAACAATTATTGGTGGAAACGCACAAGCGTAGACAAATGTGGATTATACATTAACGTTTCGGTTTTTATTTTTATTTTTTTATTTTAAACAAATCTGTCACTGACGTACCATAACCGGAGGTGAAATGGCATACCGTTATCCAAAACAATATGAAAGCCCAAGTGCAGTGGCTAAAAGCAGCGTACAACGACTGTTCTAATGCGTTGTAAGGTCTGTATGTTTCGTAGAACACGGATCCGTACAGCTGAACCCAAATACAAACGATGCAGACTACTAAAGTCCCAGCATAGACGACAGACTGTAAAGAAAAASAAAAACATAAATCGTAAGTAGTGTAATGTCAAAAATCTCTGCAATTAACCAACAATCTGATATATGGAGGTAAGAGATCTAATTTATACGTATAATTTAAAATGTATATATTTAAATAAATAATAATAAAAGCCAAAAGGTATATTTACCTATTTACTATTCTTATAGTAGGTTATAAGTATAGGAAATTGTATAGACACATAAAAAAAATCAATAAAGTACAGCGCACTTGCGYCTATTCAATCACACTGAATTTTCCATTATGAATATAATTTATGTAAAAAAATACTGATTTAAAATATGTTTTATGATTCATAAAAATAAAGCTAAACAAAATCATCATGGATAAATTTGATTAATGCTCTCTCTTCTCCACGCTCACGCAAAGCTTATAAAGTTATAAACTACTAAGTATTCATCAGAAGAATTTAAAGTGAAATTAAATTTGCTTATTCACTTGTGGTGGGGAATCTCCATTGAGCTTATTTGCGTCGTCAACTTGAAAACGTCCAAAGGAAATTYCTCGGTTATGCCTTATGCCAGATACMCATTGAAAATTCTTTGCCCACCACATGACTATTACTGATACTCCCATAAAATTAATGTCTCTCTCGCAAAACTCATCTCCTCGAATATTGTTGCTTTATCTTTTCTCTCGCAAGTAAATTTTAAGGTAACTTCGCGTTTTAAACAAAATAAAATTCCTTTCCACATTATTGGCGATAAATTTTTTAATGAAATTAGCAAAWGAAAACCCCTTTTCCTTATTTYATAATTTGTTAGTATAATATACTTGTTGTYTGATAGCTGTCATATTACTTATATTGCTACACTGAATATTATATACTAAGTACRTTTTTTAAATATAAAACTAAAATAAACTATTTTTATCGTTATCAAATTATATTAATTGTATTTYRTTTTAAACTTTAAACATCAACAATACATTATATTATAATCATTTTGATCAAAGTGGTAAGCAGGGGGGTGAGAGGACCAATAACCCTTTTTTCAATGAATATTAAGATCTGATAAGTGATAGCCATAAATAATATTTTTAATAATCAAATAGTTGTAAATAATTGTGAGTGACAAAATCATCCATATCCCATCCCACGACAAAATCATTTGATCGTCACTGCTTCATAGTATACCTATTAATAAATTAATGAACTTGAAAATTGAATAAGTTTATGTTGTAGGAAACTGATTTTATATTAACTATAAACTTTACAACTATCGATTCCTTGAGTCTCAGTGTCACACAATAATTTCAATGAACACGAGTAGGTACTCATAATATTATTATAATATTATAAATCTCGATCATCACGTATTCAYGTTGCATCAGTTAAAATCTTTTTTTTTATTTATTTTAAAATAGAATATATTTTACCATCTGTAAAATAAGAACAATAAGCAAATAGGTTGTTTTTTGTTACAAAATATTTACATAGTTATATTATGAGGAGGGAGGCTGTCCAGTGACAGAACCCTCAAATTAAAATCTTAAAGAGAGATTATAATATTAAAATATACATTCGATTACCAATGAAAATTTGATTTTTCGTTTTTTCAGTTCCTCCACCACGATGCCAGCAAGCAATCCGGCGTAGAAAGGCGTACCTCGATGGTAAAACGGCCGGTAGTAATGACTAAACTCTAATGAACTACTTGGATTCTCCAAAAACCTGTAGAAGAGTTATTTAAAAAAATGATACCTAGTTATACTTGTACGTATGATATGTAACTGTATATGTAATTATTACTAAATGAGTACACCAGGCAGCTGAACCTGCAAAATTGCAGGTTCATCAAAGATTTGAAGCTACGTTTTAAACAGCAAAAAAAAAATGACATCCACATGGCCACATCTCAGCTCTATAATATTATTAACTACCTAATATATTTTTAAACGGTCAAAATTTTAAATAGAATATTATTATGTAGTATTAAATCTCTACATTTCTACTGTCTATTTTAGTTATAGGCTTATACTAATAATATATAGCAATCTTAAAAGATAAAATCGAAAAATTCAATTTTTTTTACAACATGGTGTACCACTTATTTGTATATGTTATCATATTTATAGCTTTGAATAACGTGCAGTTATAGGTATTCTATCAAGTCAATTTAGGCACTTTTATTAGTTTTATTATAATATTATGATATATTAATCATAGAGCGTGATGAGTACCTATAATAGGAACTGGATTTATATGCAAATGCATTTTCTTCTACAATTCACTTAGAATAATTTTGACTTTATAAATATCGGAGTTTCACAATGTGCAGATTCTATGTTTAATTTTAATTTTACATATTTGAATGAAAATGAGAATATTAGGTATATTTCTTGATAGTCGCATAAATGTTTTGCATGTTCTACAAGACTACAACCATAATTATAATTTATAGTGATAAAATAATCATTATGACTCCATCTTTGTCCATAAAAATTTAAAATAATCATAGGTATTAACGTCTATACAAATTCTACTGTTGATCGTAAAATAAATAACCTACCTATGATAATATATAACGATATCAGTTATCGACCAATAACAAAAAATATTGGATTTTATAGTGGTAAATTTATAATTACGCGACTATACTTAAGGTAATAGTACAGTATGTACACTGTACACATATACTGTACTTATCATTAAAAAAAAAATTATTTTGCTTTTTTAATAAATTTTTTTCTACATATTATATTTAGTGTGTGTAATATTTTTACTCAAACCCGTATAGCTTATTTATTTGTAAAAAAAATGATATTGCACATTTTTGCATAATATATTTATGATACGAATCTGCATATTATTTATTGATTTTTATTGCATATAAATCCGGGCTCTAATGATGAGTACCTATCATCTGCGTTAGGTATCCTTCAAGGCTTTAACAATTCAGGTATTACAGCACTGTGCTTCACTACTTCTAAACTTTACAGAGTAAATTATACTTACGAATACATTATGCGAACCATTCCGTACGCTTGGTTAAGATAGGTTGTAACAAACGATATCGCCAAAGACGCAATAAAGAGTGCAACAATTAAATATATTCCAATTTTTCGGTGTTTGGCACAAACGTAAACCACGATAGTCCCAATAACGAAAAACTGTAGCAGACACGACACGTACCAGCCGGAAATGAGACACTGTAACAGCAAACGAAAATTTGTGTGCTTATACCAGTGGTGTGTTTAGTTTAACAGAAATCTGCTAGTATAATACATTTGTATAATTGTATACCTAATTTAGTCAACATTCGAATTTCAAAAGCTCATAAAAATTAATTTAACAGAAGTGCATATTATTAATATTMTTTTTTTTGATTTCTGTAATAAAAGTTAATCAATTATGACTTATGAGGAATCTATATAGTATTACATTTTTAAACATTTTAACTAAAAAATATGTCTTAAATGTCTATAAATAACTTAATACGAGCCAAAATATTGTCTACATTCAGCCAAATTTAAAACATGCTAATACATAACTTATTACTTGGTGAAAATGTACAAAAAAAAAAAAAATACCAAATAGACTTTTTAGATAGCTGGTATATGTTTAGTTATTGTTCCAATTTTTCTATATTATTTTATTT